GATATAAAACTCATCATAATGTTCTACAGACACGCCAAAAACTTAATTTAGATTGGTATATAATGGGGGAATTAAGGCATAAAATGTAACGAAGCATAACAAAAATGGTACCTAATAGAGCTATTGAATGCTAGTAGCAACAACTCGTACCTGCATATCTCGAACTTGATCTCCTTCTGATCCTTTTCTCAAAGTTACCCTCGTTTTTGCTATTTCCTTTTTATCTGGAATGCTAATTACTTCCTTTATGACAACTTCCTCTTCTTTTTTTGTGGTCTCAAATACTAATGGCACAGTGCTTTCACCACCTTCAGCAATTCTGTTTACAATCTTCCCCGAGTCACCCTCCTTCAGAACCTAACAACAAAAAACTGAAGTATCCATCACCGTCAAATTACTATGTTGTAGTCATACAGATTCACAACCAAACGTTACCGCATAATTAAGTAAGGCATATGCCAAATGCAGATGAAACAAATCATGTCTAGTGATTTGACATAGTAATAAATAGATTACTTTTCTATGTGCAAGTGAAAGACACAATACATGAACTCCTAATAAACATAAGATTAATCACTCCAAATTATTTTCTTGAGTAACAGTTTGCAGAACATAATAATTGCGAGAATGCCAAGAAGTCATCTTATTAGTGTAAAAATAGTTGTTACTGAAAAGCTTCCAGCACAATATCTAGTATCGAGTCGACCAACCACATCATCTTAAAGCTGAAGTTGTTAGAGTGATCAATCATTTGATACTTAATTACTCCAGCAGTAATGATTTCGTAATATTCAACAACTGAAATTCGATGAAGCAACATATCATCAAGCCAAGAAGAACGGCAGTTCAATCGACAAACGTCAACACATACACAATCCAAATGGTTCGAAATCTATCTGCATACCTGCAGCAGTTTCGCAATATTCGCAATAGTATCGGAGGCCGAGGTTCCCCCTTGAACAGAGTTAAGCCGTCGAAGCTCTTGGATTCTAAGCTTAAGGCTGCTTATTTCCTGCAATAAAGCTTGGCGCTCGGAGTTCCATCGGGACTCCTCCCGTAGCCACCGCTGCTCTTCCCTCAGCCACCGCTGCTCCTCTCTCAGCCACCGTGACTCTTCGCCGCTGATCGGATTTTGGTTGGACGGTGGATATGTGAAGCATGTGTAGGATTTCGACCCGTGCCTGAAGACTAATGCCTTGAAATGAGGTTTGTGGAGGAAAGCGGTTGGGGAATTTGAAAGTGAAGGTAAATGTAGAAAAGAGGGCAACATTTTCTCCCGTGCCTGAAGACTAATGCGTTGAAATGAGGTTTGTGAAGGAAAGCAGTTGGGGAATTTGAAAGTGAAGGTAAATGTAGAAAAGAGGGCAACATTTTCTCTCAATAGAAATATAATGTGAGCAGAGTGGTGTGTTCATGGTGGCAGGAATTCGGGAGAACTGGAGAAGATATTTCCCAAGACAGTGGAGGTTGAATTGTAGTGAAAAGTGGGACCAACATGACGGGGATATGTGTGATTGAAGTGTATTAAGCCAAATTTTTCAATTGAAGTGTATTAAGCCAAATTTTTCATTTAACTAGTACGTAACCCTTTGTTGTAGTTTTCCCTACTAGATTCAGATGTGTAGCTGTGTATTCGGCCGTGTGGCTGTTGTATTCGGCTGTATGGCTGTGTTCTAGTCTTTGTGTTTGTTACTAATATCTATCGTTTGGAAGGAAAAAAACTAGTACGTAACCCGTGCGATGCACGGACTGTATACTTTTTTCGGAAACATAAGAGCATCCACAATACTTTGGGTCTTTTAACAAAAAATCACATGCCACATGAGAAATAGACTTAGTCTATAAAAAAATACTTCCCAATGCAATTAAAGGTAGACATGGTCTAGCTTATGTGGCAATGAAAAAAAGAGACCAAGTCCATACTTGGGTCTATTTTGGACCCAAATACAAATCCAAACACTCATCATTTGTTCTTAATTTAATTTTTTTTAATTAATAAAACATATTAGAGCATTTCTATTGGTTGGCATGTATGATAGACCTAGTCTTTTTATTTTTGCATTGCAAAGTTTTTGAGTTTTTTTACTTGTGTTTGTCCATGTCATTTAAAACTCAAGTCCAATTATATGCCACATATACAAAAATAGACCCAAAGCATTGTGGATGCTCTAATGTAGTACCGGTGCGCAGTACGGTGGGATTATTTCCTCAAACCTTTTTGTCTAAACTTTATTTAATATTTTAGTTTATAATTTAATAATTTGATTGTAATAGAAAAAAAATAGAGAGAAATACAAATTACAAAAAAAAAAAAAAAAAAAAAAATCATATATTATTAAACACTCTTCTATACACAACATTATTGGTTTGATTTGCTTTCAAACCTTCTTCTCCACAAATTAAAATTTTAAGACCATTTCTATTAGTAACACGGGAGACAGCGACATATAACTGGCCATGACTAAAAACTGGTTTCTTCAAGAATAAGCCAACATGAGATAAGGATTGACCTTGACTCTTGTTTATAGTCATTGCATACGAAACCACAATGGGGAACTGCCTTCTTTGGAATTTGAATGGTACTCTAACATCCGAAGGAGTTATGGTCATTCGAGGTATCAAAACTTTATCACCTGCATGATCGCCAGTAAGAATTTTACACTCGAGAACATGATTGGAGAGTTTGGTCACAACCAATCATGTACCATTGCAGAGTCCCATTGAGTGATCCATATTCCGCAACAACATAACTGGAGTTCCGACCTTCAAATTCAACTCATAATTCGGTGTTCCAGAACACTTGATAGTATTCAGGAACTCAGGAGTGTGGAGTTGTGCCAGAAAGTCGGTATTGGAGTCAGATTTACACGTACTGTCTGAGCTTAAATACGTGCGTCCTTCAGTCAAATTCAACGACGACATGTATGCATTTATAGATTCTACGATCTCGAGTGTTGGCGCGAGTATAGCCCTATCTTTCAAGTAACTTGGATCATCGGTTGCATTCTTGAACATCGGATACGTGCTTTCAACGATTTTTGCAATTGGATCATCGGATGGCTGTAGTAATAGATCATCTGGTATGTCTATCGGAGCACATCCATCATTTGTACCCCCCAATGTGCCATCTCCGATGCTCGCTATCCAATCAGCAAAAGCGGCTAGCTCGTCACGTTCATTTGAATTGCCAATGCTCTGAAGACGCATGTTCTTTGTAAGTCTAAGCACAGTACAGTCTCCCCAAATGGTAGAAGAATTAATAGCAGCATTAACAATCTCCTGACGATTCCCCTTTGGAACTATAGGCAGGATTTGTCGAAAGTCTCCACCAAACACAACAGTCTTACCTCCGAACGGTTTATGATGATTTGCCGGGTCGAGTGCTCCCATTATTGCCTTAAAAGAAGCTTGAACAGCTTCAAAACAATGCTTGTGCATCATAGGAGCCTCATCTCATATGATCAACGAAGAGCGAATAATCAACTCTGCAAGGGGGCTAGCCTGATTGATATCACACGATGAATTTTCATGCACAGAAAGAGGAATACCAAATCGAGAATGTGCAGTGCGACCGCCCGGCAACAGGAGAGATGCTATTCCACTTGATGCAACACAAAGAACAATTCGACCACGCGATCTTAGCCCAGCAGCTAAAGTCCTCCACAAGTATGTCTTGCCAGTTCCACCATAACCATAAACAAAAAACACGCCGCCCTTACCGAAATCAACAGATGTCATTATTCTGGAATAAACACCCTTCTGTTCATCGGTCATATGTGTCAGCAATTCATCATGCTCATTAGCTAGAGCCTTACGGTCATAGTTAAGTTCATCCATAACCAGACGGTTCACACTTGAATTCATACTACTCATATCTGGAAAAGGCATAGTAGAATAGTCCCGAAGGCTTGTGCCACGATGTCTCAATAATGTCTCAATCTCTGCAAGAGCTAAATGTTTTATATCTGCATCACCCAGCTTCAAATCTGAAATAATGATAGATGACCTATTAGATTTGGCTTTTTTACGTGGAAAACAAAAAAATTTAATAATTAAGAAAAACAATGTTATTATAATACTTGATAAATGCATAATATAAAACCCCCTAAATCTCATACCATCATTATCAAAAAGACGACGTTGCTTGTATAGTATGTCGTCAGATAGAAATTGCCAACACCGTTCCCAAACTTCATCGGGTTTGCCTAAGGATCCAGAAACCAATAAAGACGCAAACATGCGCCTAAGGGAATCAGCAGATGCCCACTGACTTGCTTCGGTAATTCCATCAATGTACTCTCGATCATCACCCAACAAACCTCGTGCATAGCAAGCATCGCGGTAGGACATGTATTGAACATCGCCTACCTCATATAATCCTCGTGCCAAGTAGCTCCACGAACAACATTGACCAAACACCTCAAATAATAATTATCACCAGCGTTGGGAGGAATATAGCTCAAACGACCTATACAACCTGGCCTTATTCGAGGAGTCCAGACTCTTTCTTGTTTGTTCCAAACAAATTTGGACGGCGCCTCAACATACGTCAGTTTTCTCGCCTCGGGATACATCTTGTTCGCTTCCATCCATGCCAAAAATTGGCTCTCATTGATGGTGGGATTATTAAGAACTTCATCGATAGGATCATCATCATCAAAAACAATATTATGTTCACTTTTCAAATGGAAACTCAGACGTTGCACAGAAGGTTTTTTGTACTGCAGTTCATAACCCAATAGCCTCCACGCCGCCTCGCAAGAAGACACATACCGACAGTCATAGAACATGTTGATCTCGTCAACAGGTTTTTCTATTTCTCCATACGCAGTCGTCTGATAGAATGATGCGGTGACACGATCATGACCTTTATTGACGTACTTGAAAAGGTACTTTATGGATCGCGATTGATTACACCACTCGACGTTAATATGCGCTCCATATTTCATCAACAATTTGCGATTGTGAGGCACGGCATAACCATTATGGACAACGACCCCATTTTTTTCAATATGCCTTCTATCGTCTCGACGTCTGTATCGTGGATAACCTTCATGGTCGACAGTGGTTAAATCGACAAACTTTTTAGGAAACCGTTTACTACATTTGCCATCGACCATGCACGGAGACGATTTTCTAGCCAAACCACAAGGTCCGTGGATCATGTGCTCTTTTACTGCCTTATAATACAACGGATCCGACGCCTCATCAGGTATCTCGACAGATATTACTCTGTCAATGTCTGACGGATTTGGGAATTTATTTTCTTTGGCGAGAAATAGTAGTATATGAGCATGCGGCAATCCACGCTTCTGAAATTCAATGGTGTAGACAACTACAAAAACACAAAAGAAGATAAAACAATTAGAACAATTTTAAAAATGGTGTTAGACACCACGATGGACATATATACAACAGTTTTTTTATTCTAAAAATAATACCTGCTATGACTTTCCCGAAAATTTGCTTTTTATGAAAATCCCTGATTAATTCCTTCAATTTTGATTTGAAAACCCTACATATAATATCCGGGCGATCCTCAGGTCGCAGTCTCTTTGGTTCCAAAAAACGAACAATCTCAGGCCATTTTGGATTGCATGTGAATGTTACAAACAAATCGGGATAACCAGCCCATCCAAAAATTGTCATTGCATCCTGATAGTTTTGAATCATGTTTCGAGGTCCCCCAGTGAATGAAGAAGGAAGTATAATTCTTTTTCCTCTAGAGCTTGGATCAACATCACCTTGGAGAACTGCATCCGCCAATCTATTACACATATCACATCGGAGTCGACTCTGATTGAATCGTATATATCGCAACCTCGATGATTCAACCATGGTATATGCATCAACGACAAACTGCTGAAACAATCTTCTCGCTGAAAGAATAGTAGATGGTTCATGTTTCCGATCATGGATCCGGTACGCAAAGTACTCCCGGACACTCACTGTTTTTCGACCACGCTCTTTTTCAACTTTTCGATTTGAAAATGGAATGTCTTCTCTATAGCCATCCTCACCGTAGGGCAAAAGAAGGGGATATTGTAAAGCCAGATATGAAGCATTAAGCTCATTTATTCGCTGTAGTCGCTCACTCTTGGTTTCAACCAATATATCTCGCTCACCCATAGCCTGATCAAAATCTCCAACGACCAAAACAGCAACTTCAGAACTTGTAGGCAAGTTATAACGTCTGGCATCATTAAATCTCCTTCTAATTAAACGAATCCTGACATTAGATTCACCATGATCTTGAATTCTTTCTCTAGCCAAACGAAATGATTTCACAAGTTCGTTGTGCTCATCCAACATTGTCGTCAATCCAGAAATAATTTCTCCATTCAAATCAGTAGCACCGTCAACATTTCTGAAAAATGAAAAAATGTTAATAAGGCAATCAAATAAAATATTATAAAAGAAAAATAATAAAAAACTCGATTAAGGATATTATTTAAATACTGACCTCACGGCATTCATTCTATTCGTTACTTGATTATCAGTGTCATATATATAGAGCTGTGCAAATTTTGGAGTTGAACCTTCAGAAGGAAGTAAACTACCCATGAGATGGTAGTTTTGCCCGTGCAAACTAAAAACGGGTGGTCTCGATCCTTTGTTGATGTCGGTATTGATCTTGCCTCCCAGAGAAGTAAAGCCGAACATGCTGTTGTAGGATCTAATGTTTTCTTGAAAGTGTTTGCTAACGCGGCTATCTCCATGTAGCAATTCACTCAAAAATTGTGGCGGATTATGTAGAACAGGAAGTTCAATGATACCATTCACACAACAACCAGAGTACATGGTAACAACAGACGTTCTCTCAGAAGTCTTTCTCTCGGCATACCAAAACATTGCTCCACAGTACACGCATTCGACATTGGCATCACTCATGTCCCAGTACTCTGCAATTGTTTTGATGAAAAATATTATAATATTATATAATAAAATCAATTTACAAAATTTGTCGTAAAATAAAAATTTAAATTATAACCAACTAGATCGTGTAGAAGTGCTCGCCAACACTTGTTTAGGTCGACCAGGTTTTTTCTTTTGATTTGTAGGTGGCACTTGATCAAGCAAATCAACACCTACAATAATATAAACATAATCGATTCAAAACTGAACACTAAATATAATTATATAATTCACTAATAAAATAATAATATTCATAAACATACGATTTCATGTGGACGTGCTTCCAATTATTTTTTTTGGTCGTCCACGTTTTCTTTTAAGAGACGTAAGTGGTACTTGATCGTCAGCCGTGTGATCCAATATCTCACTCGATATAGTTGGGTATGGCGTTGGATTCACAGTTATTTTTTCATTGTCTAAAAAACGTAAATAATTGAAAACATTTTGTTTAAAAAAAGTATACATAAATATACTGCAATAAGTGATAAATCAATTATTTAAATAACAACATACCGGTTTGTGTGGACGTACTTCCTATAACCTTTTTAGGTCGACCACGCTTTCTTTTAAGTTCCGTAAGTGGTAGTTGACTGTCAGCAGTGTCATCCAATAACTCACTTGATATATTCGTGTATGGAGTTGGAGTGACGGTGATTTTTTCAAGTTCTAGAAAACGTGAGCAATTAAAATATATTTACTTAAAAAAATTATACTGAAATAAGTGATAAATTAATTTGTTAAATAACAACATACCTGTTGGTGTGGAGGTATTTCGTATAATTTTTTTATGTCGACCACGTTTTCTTTTAAGAGTCGTAACTGTTACTTGATCGTCCGCACAATGATCGAATATCTCACTTGAAATAGTAGTGTTTGGAGTGCCGGTTATTTTTTCAAGATCTGGAAAACATAGAAAATTACAAAATATTTGTAATTGACATTAAAAAAAAAAAACTCACACTGCACTAAGTGATAAATCTAATATTGAAATAACAACATACCAGTCTGTGCCGACGTATTTCCTAAAATCTTTTTAGGTCGACCACGGTTTCTTTTAACAGTCGTAAGTGGTACTTCAGCGGCAGCTCGGTCATTCAATATCTCAGCATGGGAATCAATAACTACAATAATTCAAACATAATAGTTATAAAAGGGCACTATTTGAAATTAAAAAAATACATAAAAATAAACAAAACATCCAGATGGACATTTTTTATTACCTTGTGGTTGCTTGAATATACTATCAGGACTAAGAAGCAAAACGTCGTTAACATCGTCATTGTTAAGATCAATGAAGGATGACAGTCCTAAATTTTCTGCAGGTAATTATAATAACAAATACATATATCACACTTAGTAATATATAAATATTTATTTATTAATGTTTAAATAAATACACTATTAAATGATAAATTATTTTTTAATATTTTTTACCATTGGTGATGTTTGAAAATGGCACATTTTGAGTAGTATGCAATACACTTCGATATTGATATGAAACACTGCCCAAACGATTGTTGTTTTCTTGACGAATAAATGATGCTCCACTGATAAGAGATGGTGTACAAATTCCTGTAGAAAAATAATCTTCATAATATAAAGCAACTATTAATATAAAAACTTATAATCTGTTAATAATCCATTATAAAAATAAAAATTATACACAAATAAGATAAAAATAGATACACAAAATATTGTACAATTAAAAATTATTATTAGAAAATTTATTGAGAAAATATAAATTAAAAATTTATTTTATAAGTGTGGCCTAAATAATATTTTCTTATTTTATATAGACCATGAATTAAAGCACAATTTCATAGTATAAAAATAATTTTGAAACTTAATCTAATGGGATAAATAATTACAGTATTTGGGCTTAATAGATAAAACCCAAATAACTTTACATGTAATCGGGCCGCATGTTTTGTTAAATAATTTGGCCCAAACTCTAAATCATACAATTGGGCCAGGGTTTTCGTTTTCATCCCAACTTTGGCCTTTATCAGATTTTTTTTTAGTCTAATTCGCGATCGGACGGCCAAAACTTATTCAGTAATATTGAACGGCTAATATTACATAAAAAATGGTATCAAATGCAATTTTGCACCGATAGGGTTTTCATTTCTTATTTCTCTCCGATTTCGTCGCCGCTTGGACCTCTCTCCCTTACCCTATCATTTCCTCTTTCTCTCCGATTTCGTCGCCGCTTGGATCTATCTCTCTCTCGATTTTTTTGTCCGATATTGATATTTCCTTCACAAATCTGTTTTGTAAATATCGACCGAATTTTGTAAGCCTTCTAATTTTGTAAATATCGACCGAATCGATTTCATTTTTCACAAGATATTTTTTGATTTATCAAAAAAATAAGTGAAAATTGAAATAGGTATCGATATTTACCTCCGATCACGGCGATTAAATTAAATCCAAGATCTGGTTGGGCACATGTGAAAAACATAAGAACCACTACCTTTGGAATTTTTTTTTTTTTAAGTTTCATTTTCGAATTTGTTGTAATTCACTGAAAATTGTATGTTTATGGTAGATCTAAAATTTTTGAAATTGTTTTCAAATGTTCCTTGTGTAAATCTGAAAACAAAATCTGTTTGTTGTTTGGTTTCTAACTGATTGTGGTTCAAATCCTCTAACTTTGTTGGATTATATGTATATTGAAAGCATATAATTTTTTTGTGAGACTTGTTCGAATTTTGCGAAACATGTCTCAATTTTTTGTCTCTCTGAGTGAAGAGCGCATTTGATTAATACATGCATGAACTAATTGTTAGAGTAGGATACCCGGCGTTCCAATCTAGTTGGACGTATTCTACTTGTAAATACAAATCTATTGGAATTATATTATTAATAANTACGGGTGTTGTATTTATACGATAAATACTTATTTTAAAATTTTAAATTCCGCTGCGTAAAGCCCGTACGGTACTAGCGAACCCAACACTAATGTTTTGAAATTAGTATAAGATATAAGATTATATCCTCATATCATGTTTTTTTCAACAATTTATAAACTTTTGATTTCAAAACGGAATTTTAGACTGGCATGTGGTTCGAAATATTTGATAGCACCGAAATATATGTATGTTGATAGCATATAGTTTTTTTGTGACACTTGTTTGAATTCTGTAAAACTTTGTTGAATTTTCTGTCTGTCTGACTGAAGAGCACATTTGATTAACAAATGGATGAACAAATTCTTTGAAATTGGTATTGTAAATGAATGGTTGGTATATTTCAAATGTGTAATACTAAATATGATCACACAGATTTAGATTTTTCACTTGATTTGTTTAGAGTACATGTTCTAAGTTCAACTGTAAGTTCAATCTTTAAATTCTAACCAATTTCTTTTAATGCATGAGAATACTCGGAGCAAGGACATTGGTTGAATTACACTAAGCAGCAGAATACACGGAGAACACCAATAACATATGAGCTAACCTACTGGAGGGATCTGAAGGTAGAACAATAAAGTGCATAACTATCTGTAGCAAAAGTGTTCATCGACATCAAAAGGTAAATATACGGTTCAAGTCACCAATAACAATACTTCAGTTTACACAAATAATATCCCACTAACAATACTTCAGTTTACACAACTATAAAGTATCCAGGCCCTAAGTCACCAGCAGCAGATCAATACTTATATATGTTAGTGTTCATAAGCTACATTATTTATATTTTTAGAAAAAAAAAAAAAAAAAAAAAAAAAAAAAAAAAAAACTAAAACTGCAATGAACTGGTGCATACATCTAGATGTTAAAGTGGTTCAAATTCTACCAAAAATTATTCTGTCGGTGCGAGGATGTTGATACAAAAAACGGACTGCTTCTACATCCTGTACCTTATTAAAGGTAATCCTTCTTCACGGAATATCATTCCTCACAGTACAGGTAAAGCATGAAAAAATAAATAAAGGTGGGTAAATCTTAATTACCTTCTTTGATTTGATGTTTATCTCGATTTCTGCATTCATATGGCTGTTTGTGTGCGAGATGCGGTTGTTTTTCTCCTTTGTTATCCTTCATTTTGTATCCTTCATATGGTTGTTTTTGTGTGTGATCCGTGTTTTTTCCACCTTTGTGATCCTCCTTCATATTGTATAGCGATCATTTGAAATGTTGCAAACATTAATCTACATAGTTATCAACTCGAACTACATAAATATATGCAGTCTTTTGAATCGAGTGAAAAAAATGAAAGAGAATAGTCGTACCTTCACGCGCATAAAATGATCAAACTCTAGTCTTGAGATAATGATAATATTTATAAGAGATTTTAGGTGTTTGACCATATCTTTAGAAGTATATCCGATTTCACAGATTTTTTGGAAACTAAATATACGTTTGAGATGAATAATTCTGTACATTAGAAAAGTGAATCACTCTACGTAATTTTATAAGAGATTTTAGGTGTTTGACCATATCTTTAGAAGTATATCCGATTTCACAGATTTTTTGGAAACTAAATATATGTTTGAGATAAATAATTCTGTACATTAGAAAAGTGAATCACTCTATGTAATTAGTCTCAAATTCACGATTATATTAAGTATACTGACCACAATAATCCATTCGATATTTTATAAATAATATTTATAAAATTATAGTTCGTTTTCCATGTTCTACGATGATATTTATGCGTAGTAATAATATTTATAAATTTATTATTCGTATTTCAAAAAGTACTTTATTATCAATAGATTTTGTTATTCGAAATGAGTAAATAAAAAATGTGACGTCAAAAATTATATAATAAGTTTTTAGCGATATATTTAAATTAGAGCAGTTATTAGATTTATTTAGTACTTAATATGTACTTAAAATATGTACTTATTAGATTTACAAACTGCACTCAAGGACTGGATGGACTACAATGCAAGCAATCTGAAGGAGTAATTTGATGGTCTATGGATAGGTTAGGTCTCGAGTCAGTGGCCTATTTGTTTTGGCTGTCAAATGTCTCCTGTTATTTTCTTATTCGGCTCTAGATCAGTGTCTGGCATTGTAAGTTTGTTCTAAGTTTGTGCTAGTATTCTAGGTGTTGGGGTCTTTTTCTTTTTTATCTATGGTGTATTGAGGCTATTGTGTTGTGCATCGATTAGGAAGCTTGGTTTAGCTTATCCTCTCAGATACCCAGGATTCGGGATCTTCCCGTT